CTACACTAACTACTACTACTACTACTACTACTACTACTAACTACTACTACTACCACTTACGACTACTACGACTACTACGATTACTACTACTACTACTATTACGACTACTACGACTACTACGATTACTACTACTACTACTACTACTACTACTACTACTACTACTACTACTACTAGTACTACTACTACTACTACTACTACTACTACTTTTACTACCACATACCTACCTACCGACCTACCTACCTACCTACTTATCGACCTACCTACCTACCTACCTACCGACCTACCTACCACTATGACTACGACTACTACTACGACTATGATTTCGGCGACTGTTGCTAGTACTACCACCACTACGATTACCACTACTACTACTACTACTACTACTACTACTACTACTACTACTACGACTACTACTACTACTACTACTACTACTACTTCTACTACTACTACTACTACTACTTCTACTTCTACTACTTCTACTACTACCACTAGTACGTCAACTACGACGACTACGGCTTATGCGACGACGACTACTACTACTACTTCTATTACTACGACTACTACAACTACGACTACTACTACGACTACTACTATTACCCTGACTACTACTACTACTACTACTACTACTACTACTACTACTACTACTACTACTACTACTACTACTACTACTACTACTACTACTACTACTACTACTACTACTACTACTACTACTACTACTACTACGACTACGACTACGACTACGACTACGACTACGACGACTACTACTACTACTACTACTACTACTACTACTATTATTACTACTACTACTAGTATTACTACTACTACTACTACTACTACTACTACTACTACTACTACTACTACTACTACTACTACTACTACTACTACTACTACGACTGTTCTTACTATACGAGTATCCATCCGGTGTTGAGGAGCTTGGGTGGTGGGGGGGAAGAACCAACTGCAGGCAAATGCGATGGTCGAGATGATGACGATGCTGTTGACGCGCCCTAGAGTTAGCGACGACGCGTGATGACGACGTTGCGCTGCGATGGAATGTCACTATCGTCCCCGCCTTCTATGTCCCATCCAATGTCACAAACAACCTCACTGTCGATCTCACTTCCGATCTCACTATCCATCGCATGCCAGCGATCTCACTGGATCTCTCTATCTAGCTAGCGGTCTCACTGTCGATATGCGTGTCGATCTATAAGTCGGCCTCACTATCGATCTACCAATCTCACGATCTATCAAACAATCCACAGTTGGCACAAGCATCGGCACAACCATAGGGACATCCATCGGGGCAATCATCGGCACAATTATCGGGACAACCATCGGGACAACCATCGGGGTTATCATCAGGACAACCATCGCGAGAATTGTCAGAAACCATCTGGACAATCACGGGACGAGCACAGGACAACCACGGGCCCAATCCGACGACAGGACAGGAGGCGAGTCTTTTGCTCCGACTTCGCCCTAGCAATGGCGGGGTCATTCGTCTCGCCCACGCAGGCAGCTTCGCCTCGCCCACACGCACGGTCTTCGCTTTAGTCCGACCTGATGTATCTTCAACAGTAACACGCTGATGGGTTCACCACTGCGGCATGTCATTTATATTGATTTTGCTCCCCCAACAGCGGCCGCCCTCCCCGGCGTGTTTCGTCCGTTCTGGGGTCACTTGGAGGCTGTTCGTCATCACAGCCAGATCCATTTCGGAAAACGGGTCAGGATGGACCCCAGCAGCGGTCCAGGAACCGATGCTGAATAGATTCAGTGGTCCAGGGGGGGGGGCCGCAAGTGTCTCAATCGGCCCTCTTCGACCGTCGTCGTCGGCCTTCGTTCGTCCTTCGTGACAGGCCAGTCCTCTGGGAGCCCACCATCGGCGGTGGATGGAACCCCCACCTTGCCAAGTCGATCAGTGAGTTGCCCCTTTTACGGTTCTCGGGGGGGGCGTCGCGGTCGCAGTTTGGGCGGGCCTGCGCTCGCGGGGTATGGACCAACATTGCAGCCTGCATTTCCCCGCGGCCGCTTGCCAGGGTCCACTTCGATCCGATCGATCCGATTCGATATCGGTTCTGGCCAGCCAGATCCGATCCGATTCCGATATTCCGATGACCCGATGCGGCCCGATGTTTGCATGGCGGTGCGGCGCACTTTGTCGAAGCCGATCGGATGCGATTTCGAACCCGCGCCGATGCGGCCCCGCCCCTCGCACGCTCCGATCCGATGGGATCTCCCGACTCGGTACTGACTGCTCTCGCCAGCACCACCGCCAACACCGCCGCGCCTGCACCGCCCCCGAGGTCCGATGTCGGAAAAAAAGTGTCCCCCGCTGGAGAAAATCGCGGCCAGAGCCCCGGATGCCACCCTGGTCTGCGGCAGTCCTCCCCAGCCAGGTCGCACCGCGAGGGCCGGCGGGCCCCCAGCAAAAAATCCCAGGCGGGAGCACGCCGAGAGCGTGGAAGTGCTCTGCGGCGGCAGGGTCCTCCTCGGGGCCCTCGCAGCGGCCTGCCTCTGCAGACCTGAGGGCATGCGAGCGACGGAGGAAAACGCGGAGAAGGAGAAGGTAACCAAGTCCCTTCGGATCATGATCCCACGGGGATGGTAAAGTTCGGGGTCGCGGGGGGATTATAAATGTTGCCTACCGGAGGCCGGAGGCCAGCATGTGGGAGGAGAAAGAGATGATGTTAAGAGGACCGAAAGCCGAGGATCGAGAATCGAAGTCCGAGGATCGAGGATCGAGATCCCAGAGTCGAGGATCGAGGTCCGAGGATCGACGGCGGCGAGGTCCGAGGATCGACGATCGAGGTCCGAGGGTCGAAAATCGAAGATCGAGGATCGAGGTCCAGGGTGCCAGGGGGAGAAGGAGGAAGACAGAGAGAGACAGAGACAGAAAGATACAGTTAGTTAGAAGAGAGAAAGAGAGAGAGAGAGAGAGAGAAAAAAAAAAGTAGGGAAAGATAGACAGACAGAAGGAGAGAGGAGGAGGAGGAGGAGGAGGAGGAGGAGAAACGCCAAAGTTCCAAACCTATTAAATTTAATTTGTAAACAAACAATGGAAATCAAGATGTTCATCTGCTCGTGTAGGGTAGCTCACGTGCCTCGGTTTTCATGGATAGTAAGCCACAGCGATAAAAAAGTTCAGGGTGCCAGGGGGAGAAGGAGGAAGACAGATAGAGACAGAGACAGAAAGATACATATAGTTCGACAGAGAGAGAGAGAGAGAGAGAGAAAAAAAAAAAAGTAGAGACAGATAGACAGACAGAAGGAGACAGAGAGAGAGGAGGAGGAGGAGGAGGAGGAGGAGGAGGAGGAGGAGAAAAGCCAAAGTTCCAAACCTATTACATTTAATGTGTAAACAAACAATGGAAATAAAGATTTTCATCTGCTCGTGTAGGGTGCCTCATGTGCCTCGGTTTCCGTGGATAGTAAACCACAGCGATATCTTTTATATTAAAAAATCAAGGGGCCAGGGGGAGAAGGAGAAAGACAGAGAGAGAGAGAGAGACAGAGACAAAGACATCCTTGAAAAACTGATCGTTTCGCTTGAGGCTGCCTCCAAAAATTGTTGATCTCGCTTGAGACATCTTCGACAACGTCTTCGCTGCGTTTGATGTTGCTATTTCAACATAAGAAGGAAGTTAACCTCGATGGTGAACTTTTCACAGTGATAAAAAAGTTCGGCCTCCACGCCCCGTGCCCCTGACCAAACTCTTCTTGGCCGTGGATAATCAACTCTAGCGTGGAAAGGGGGGGTCCTTTTTTATCATCGGCACAAGGTTACCCGTACCGATACCTCTACCCGTCCTTCGTGTTCCTCTTTTTGGGCCTCCTGTGAGATCTTCGTCGCCACCGCTGAATTCGCTTCGAAATCCTGGTCAGAATGCACCCCAGGAGAGGTCTGGTGAGTAGCGGTATCGGTACCTTTCGGTTCCCCCAAAGATGGGATCGATTGCGCCGACACTCGCAAATGCTGCCTGCGTAAGACGGCGCGTAAGCACCCTGATTCTTGGGCTTACGCCACACCGCCGACCCCTTGATGTACATTGTCCCCCCTCTTGCAGCCGTGTCCTGTTTGGGGCTTCCCGGTAGGCTTCTGAAGCTCCTTGCGGCTTCTTGGGGGCCTCTTGGGGCTTCCTGGAAGCCTCTTGGGGCGGAAGACTCGGATTTTCGGTTTCTGGTCCCCCTCTTCACCCCCTCTTGGGCTCGTCTTGGGAGCCTTTTGGGCCGTCTGGGGCGGCTCTTGGGCCGTCTTTGGGCCCTCTCTGGCCGTCTTGGGGCCGTCTTGGGGGACTATTGGGCCGTCTTGGGGCGGTTTTGGGAGCTTCTTGGGCCGTCTTGGAGCGTCGGAAAGCCGAAAGGGCGAGAAGGCCCCCTTCCTTCAAAAACCAATGGAAAATCAACGATTTTGGCTTCTTGGGCCGCTCCCAAGAGGCCTCTTGGGGACCTCTTGGGCCGTCTTGGAGGCCTCTTGGGCTGTCTTGGGCACACCTTGGGCGTCTCCGAGCGCTCGTTTGGCGTTTCGAGGCGCTCGTGGGCGGTCTTGGAGGCCTCTTGGGGCATTCCTGGGCGGTCTGTAGCCCCTCTTGGGACCGAAAGAGCCCCATGACGCGCTCGTGGTCGACCCCCCCCCCCCTCCAAATCGACCGGACCAGGCTCCCGGGGGAGGGGTTTGGGGAGGGGGAAAGCATCTCACACGCCGATGATCCCCAAGGGGTCGGCGGATTTCCAATGTGGCGTGCCGCGCTGGCGGCCCGCGTAGGCCGCGGCGTGAGGTCGCCATGCCTTCTCGCGTAGGACCGGTTTCTCGTCGTCGTTCATGTTGGAGAATCGCGACCAGAGCTTTGGACACCATCTTTCTGCGGCATTCCTCGAGCCGGGTCAATCTGCAAATGGCCCCCAGGGCCCGCCGTAAACTCGGGCGGAAACGCTCGGCGTACAAAACCCAGACATCCAGTTTTTCGATGTCCGACTTCTCGACCATTCCCGCGGGACTGTTTTTTTCATCCCCGGCGGGTTTTTTGCAGGAAGGGCCCCGAGAGGCCGAAAAGTATGGAAAAGCACGTTTCGACGTGTTCGAGACGTTGGATGCCTGGGAAGCTTTTCGTATCGGTTTGACAGATGTGCTTGCGACCGCCAGCGCCGTCGACTAAAAGATAAGAATCACAAAATGTGCGGGGAGCTTCCCCGCAGCTGCCTGCCTCTCCAGACCAGCCAGCATGTGGCACACGCAGCGCAGCGCGCGGCGTAGTGGCAGGCCCTCAAGGTTCAAGGGAAGAAAAGCCACCCGGACCCTGCGCATGTGAGCGCCCGGTGTGCAAAGGCTTCCCCGCAGCCAACCACCTCTCCAGATCTGCCGGCATGTGGCAGATGCAGCGCGCGAAGGAGGGGTGGTCCCCCGAGGATCAAGGGAAGAAAAACCATCCTGATTCCCATAGTTGGCGATTACTAAGCAGCCCGGCGCTTCCTGAATAGCCCTGTCCTGTACGACTCTCATCCGCTTGGCCAAAAAAGCGTCGCCTGTCGGGGTGCTTCTTGCCCAGACCCTGACGTCATGACCTCTTCACAACGTCGACCCCCGGCGATCTCGACCCATTCCTCGGGACCAGCTTTTCATCCCAGTTCTTTTCTTAACGGTCCCAGGACCCAGTGAGCACCCCCAGAGGCTCAAAATAGCGAAAAAACTTCTGTCGCTGGGGAATCCGAAAGGAACCGATACCGCTGCTCCCCGGACCTCTCCTGGGAGGCATTCTAACCAGAATTTCGAAGCGAATTCAGCGGTGGCGCCGAAGGCCTGCGAGGAGGCCCAAGAACCCAGATCCCCGGGTTCATGATTCTTTGATTACGTCGACCCCCCGAGGTCTCGACCTATTCCCCGGGACCGGTTTTTCATCCCGAGTTGTTTTTTGTCGGTTCCGAGGCCGGGTAAGGGCCTCTCGAGGCCGAAAATCATGAAAAACCTCCCGTCGTGATTTTCTACTTGCTCGGGGGGGTCTGGGATAGGGGAAAGCGAGGGAAGCGGTCCCTGGGCCTGGTTCAGGTCCCCCAGCGGCCGAGAAGGGCGAAAGTGGCGCATACAATTGAGTCGGGCATGTCCCTCTACAGGAGGAATATTCAAAAAAAAATGTTTATAACTAGTCCAGGGACGATGTTTTGAATACTTTTACTAACAAAATGAATATGTGTTTTCCTATGTTTCATCTTTCGTCCAAGATCCGCCTGTCGGAGGACATGCCCGACCTAACCGCACGAGGAGGCCCCGCTGTGCGAGCCGGCCGCGCCCGCCCCCGCGGCCTCCGGGCCGGGGCCGCGGCCGCCGCCCACCGCGGCGGAGCCGCGGCCGCAGAGCCGCCGGGCCGTCCGCCTCGCCGCCGCGGCGCTCGGGTGCGCGGCCGTGGCCCTGGGCGCCGCAGGTCCAGAGAGGCGCAAAGGCATCGGAGGTGGGCAGACCTCCTACCCCGACACGTCGATTAAAGGAATTGGTCGGTTTCGGTTCGCGAGAGGGCGTCGCGGCCGTCATTTTTGCGGGTCCAGGTCCGTCGGTTTCGGTCCCAGGCCGCTGTCACTAAAGGGGAGGTTTGCTGAAGGGAGGTCTGCCCACCGCCGAAGGCACCGAGAGCGCCACCCAGAACTCGATGCGAGGCTCGAGGTTTCCAGAGGGTTGCGCCAGCCCTCGGCAGTTCTCCAGCCTCGGGAGGCTTCGCAGCGGCTGCGCCTCGCTGAGGGCGTGATGGGGCTGCCCGGATCGTCCCGAACGGCCACCTGAGACCCGAGTTGTGACCCGAAAACCCACCCACCTTCGGCCGCATGTAGGAGTACCCCTTCGCCAGACCCAGACATGCGGCAAAATCGAGGCGGAAGTTGTTCGTCGTTCTCGGCCTCTCGGGGCCCTTACCAGGCTTCGGGACCGTCAAGCAACGAGTCGGGAGGAGAAGCCGGTCCCGGGACAGTGGCCGAGAGGGCGGGGCCCGTGTTCGAGACGCCGGAAGTATGGGTACCTTGGATGGGGTAGTTTTCCAGGCGGGTCATGGGCCTTCTGACGGAGCTTGCGCATCCCACCCCCCGCTCTTCCTCCTCGTCGTCCTCCATCCCTTCCCCCGCGGATCCGAGGGGCGGGGCGATGGTTCCAGAGTGCCCCTCCCCTGGGCGCAGCGGCTGGATTCGCCTCGAAGCTCTGGTCGGAGCGCACCCGCCGGAGAGGTCCGGGGAGCAGCGGCGTCGGTATGCTTCGGTCCTCTCTCGCAGGGGGCGCGTGGCGCGGGCACGGCGGGGCCCAGGCGGGCAGAGGAAGAGCAGAGCGGCACAAGCACACGAGGACTTCTCGGAGGTCCGCGCGGAGTTCTTCGGCAGGCGTGAGGCCCCTCTGGCGGCGCCCGCGGCGCCGCCCCTGCCGCGCTCCGCGCGGCCAGGGAGGGGGGTCCAGCGCCCAGTCGAAGAAGGCCGCGCGGACCTCCGCAAGTCTGCGGCGGGGGCGTCCGCCAATGGGTGTGCCCAGGAGGCTTCAGGCCCTGGGGGGGTCCTTCTCTAACGGGGGCGGCGGCGATTTCCATAGCCAATCCACGATTGGAGTTCGACGCGAAAACAATGGCAGCATCGCGAAAAAGTCACGACTTGAACCATGGGCCCTGTCTTTCGGGCCGCGTCGATCTGTGAGGGCCCCTGGGGCCCGACGTCATGCGAGAGCACCCGGCTCGACAGAGCTGCGGCGCCAGGGTCTCAGGAACGGATCCTGACCAGACCCCCGGCGGCATGCTTTCTTCACAACGTCGACCCCCAGAGACCTCGACCCGGTCCCCAGGACCGGCGTGTTCATTCCGAGCGGGCCACCAGAGACCGCACACAGCGAAAAACCGCTCGCCGTGATTCTTGCCGTGACCCGGGCGGGTCTGGGGATCCAATGCCCTCACCGACTGCTCGTGCAGCTTCTCCTTCTTCGAGCTCAGGGTGAGGCCGGGCATGTCCCTCTGCAGGAGGAACATTCAAGAATTGTTTCAACAAAAAGATGGTGACGATGTTTCGTGCTTCTTGGATTAGTTTGATTGCCCAGACCCCTGACGTCGTGATTTTTTCGCAACGTCGACCCCCAAAGGTCTGGACCCATTCCCAAAGACTGGTTTTTCATCCTCAGTCGTTTTTTGACGGCCCCCAGGCCCGGAAAGGGCCCCCGGAGGCCGAAGCCGGCGAAAAAAAACCCGCCGTGATTCTTCATTCGCGACGCGAGGAGGGCTGGGCACGCCTTGACTACTGTGGGGTTTTTTTCCTCCAAGACGCGCCTGCAGGAGGACAGGCCCGACCTAGCAGCTCAGGGGCGCCCCGCGCGGGTGGCCGCGCGGGCCTCCCTGCGCGCAGAGGCTGCGGCCCGACCCGGCGGGGGCCGGGCCGCGGGCGCCGCGGGCGCCGCGAGGGGGCCGCGGTGGGCCCCCGGCATGCCGGCGCTGCTGCTCCCGCCCATGTTCGCCTCGCACATGCGGCCGCAGGCAGGAGGGGTCCTCCTCGGCGAGCGCGCTGGCTGCGGCTCCCCGACGCCTCCCCCTCCCCGTCCGTCCTCCTCCTCCTCCTCCTCCTCCCCCTCCCCTCCTCCTCCTTCTTCCTCCTCCTCTCCTCCTCCTCCTCCTCCACTCCTCCTCCCTCCTCCTCCTCCTCCTCCTCCTCCTCTCTCCTCCTCCTCCTCCTCCACCTCCTCATGTTCCTGTTCCTCACCTCCTCCTCCTCCCTCCTCCTCCTCCTCCTCCTCCTCCTCCTCCTCCTCCTCCTCCTCCTCTCATCCTCCTCATCCTCCTCCTCCTCCTCCTGTTCCTCCCCCTCCTCCTCCTCCCTCCTCCCCCTCCCCCTCCTCCTCCTCCTCCTCCTCCTCCTCCTCCTCCTCCTCCTCCTCCTCCTGCTACTCGCAAAGTGCCTACTCGCAAACGTCCGACAAAAACGTGCCTGCCTTGGTGTAGGGGATCGTTCGAAATCCCCCGCGGCGGATCTGGGCCGTGTGCGAGTAGCTTCTTTGCGAGTGGCGGAACGCCCTTGTCTACCTTCGCTGGAGAGGACTCGGCTCGGGTTTGCGGAGGGTTCGCCTCGCACATGCGGCCGCATACAGCAGTTCAGAGGAGGAAAGGGTACCCATACTGCCACTCTTCTCCCGATCTCCCTTTTGGGGGGGGATTCCTGGGAGGCCCTCGTCGCCACCACTGGGTTCGCTTCGAGGTTCTGGTCAGAGCGCACCCTGGGAGAGGGCCGGGGGGTAGCGGTATCAGTATTTTTGGGCTTCCCCAGGAGGGGCCTTTCGCTGGAGTGGCCTCGGCTCGGGGACTTCCGAGGGTTGCGCCAGCCCTCGGCGGTTGCCAGCCTCGGGAGGCTTTCCAGCGGCTGCGCCTCGCCTGGGGTGTTGTGGGGCTGCCCGAGTCGTCCCGAACGGCCGCCTGAGACCCGAGTCGTGACCCGAAAGCCAACCCACATCCGCATGTAGGAGTGGCCCTTCGCCGGACAGAGACGTGCGGTGCTTCGGCAAAAAATCGAGGCAGAAGTTGTTCATCGTTCTCGGCCTTCCTCACCGGGTCTCGGGACCGTCAGACAACGACCCGGGATGGAAAGCCGGTCCAGGGAAATTGGTCGAGAGGTCAGGGGCTTGTGTCTCGAAAAGATCGAGACGCTGGATGACTGCGATCCGCCACATGTAACAGTGGTTGTTCCTCCCGAGCTGTTTTTGTTGACGGCCGGCGAGGGCCCCGAGAGGCCGACAACAGGAATAATTTCCGTCTTGATATTTTCGAGACGCCAGACCCTGAGATCCGACGTCGCCAAGAAATTGAACCGTCGTAAAAACTCACGATCGGGGCCCTTAGCCCCGTATGTCTACGCCACTTTTCGAGCCGGATCGATCTGTGATGGCCTTGGGGCCCGAAGCCTGGCAAAACGCCCGGCTCGAAAAGGTCGAGACGCCAGGAGACCCCAGGGGATGTCCAGGCGCCCTGCCTGGGGTGCACGTCTTCCTGCGTGCGGCCGGCGCGTGGTGCTCCAGCAGGGCGCGGCGACGCGCCTGTGGGGACTGTGCGCGCCGGGGCTCGGGCCGGTCGGGGTGCAGTACGAGGGGGAGGAGGTCGCGGCGGCCGAGGTGGACGCGGTGTCCGGCCGCTGGGAGGCTCTGGGTCTCCCAAGTGGGGTCCGACCCCAGACCCCTTCGAGCAATGAAGAAGTCACGACGCGCGGTTCTTCGCCGTTTTCTACCTCTGGGGACCCTTACCTGGCCCCGGACCGTCCAAAAACGGCTCGGGACGAAAAACCGGGAACCGTGGAGTGGGTCGAGACTTCGGGGGATCGACGAAATGGAAAAAGCATGGCTTCGGGGGTTTGGGAGTAGAGATGGGGTCGGAGCATCGCGCCGCGAAACACCGCCGATAGTTTGTGTGTGTGCCAATATCTGCGCCCTGGCCTGCGTGTTCCCTGCGTATAGACGCGGAGGGCCGCTGGCTGGAGCGTGGCCTCCCGGGGCGGCAGCCGCGCTTCTACAGAGGCCTCCCAGATAGGGTCCGAGTAGATGGGGGGGAAGGATCACGCCGCATCGCCGATGAATCCCTAATGTCTGGCCCATCCCCAATGTTGGACGCTCCTCTCCTTCCTCATCCGCCCTGGTCCTTCGTCCTCCTCCCTCCCCCCTCCTGTCACAGCTGCCTTGTCAATGTGTTGTTCAGGCCACGCCTCATAGCATGAGTCTGCCTGTTGCAGTTCGGTTTGCGCGGTGCCACCCGTGGCGTTTTGCTTGGAAAACCCATCGCCGATGCATCGGCGACGTTTGCGATACATCTGCGACGTCGGCGTGGAGAAAGTCGTGCTCCACATCGACCCGCATCGCCGATGCATCGGCGATGCGGCGCGATCCTCCGACCCCAGCTGCTCGGACCCCATCTATAGGAGGCCTCTCTAGGCGCGGCTGCCGCCCCGGGAGGCCACGCTCCAGCCGGCGGTCATCCGCGTCTACGCGGGGAACGCGAGTCGGGGGACAAAGAGTGGCATAAACATTTAAGTGTCGGAGCTCCGCGGGAATTTCTTGGATCGGCGCTGGATCCCCCTGGCGGCGCCTCCAGCGCCGCCCCTGGCACGCTCCGCGCGCCAGGGAGGGGGCTCCAGCGCCGATCCGAGAAGTCCGCGCGAACCTCCTAAAGTCATGTTCATGGCATTATTATTTGTTCCCGGTCGAGCCTGACTCTGAGCGACGTGGTCGTCGGGGACGTCTACCTGTGTGCTGGCGCGAGCCAGATGGAATTCCCGGTGAACGAGTCGTTGGCCTGGCCTGGTGAGCAGTCCCGCGTGGACGGCTACGGCAGCCGCCTCCGGTTCTTCAGGGTTGGAGTTCCAGATTGGAGCCGGCTGGGGGTCTGAGGTGGCCCAGCACTGGTTTTGGCCAGCAGGAAGGGGGCTGGAGGCAGGTTCCAGGGAAGGCCTACCGTTTAATCCGAAGCCATTTCGTCTGGACGAATTCATCCGATATGAGTGTTATCCAGACGAGTTCGTCCAGACAATTTCTTTCCGACGAGTTCATCCGAAGACGAGCTCATCTGAAGTATTTGATCCGAAAAAATTACTCCGGACACATTCTTCCGAAAGGTTTTCTTCTGCGAGATTCCGTTCGGCCTGGATGCGGAGAGCATCCGAACGACCTCGACCGATGACACACTATTCCGATATTCTTTCGCTCGAAAAAATTAGCCCGGACAAGATCTTCCAGACAAATTGTTCCGGACGATTTCTTCCAAGACGAGTTCTTTCGGACAAGTTCTTCCGTACAAGTTCTTTTGGACGAGTTCTTCCAGGATATCCCCTTCGGCCCGGATGCGGAGAGCATCCCAGCGACCTCGCCATCACAGACGATTTCATCTGAAAGGATTTCATTAGGACAAGTTCATCCAGGACGACTTCATCCGAGCGAGTTCACTCGGGCGACTTAAGCCGAAGACAGCTTGATTCGCGACAGGCCCCTCATTGGGCGGCAACGAGGCGACAACAGGCAGTGACACCGCGAACTTTCCACGAGCCCCCCAAGTGGGCGGCAACGAGGCAGCAATGCAGCGAAACCTCTACGAACCCCCTACTTGAGCACAAACGGGGCGGTTTCGAGGGGGAGACGGGCGGCGACGCATCCAAACTTCCGCCGATCCCCCAAAGCGGGCGGCAGCGAGGGCGGCAACGGGAAGCGACGCGGCGAAACCTCCACGGAGCCTCAAACAGGCGGCAACGGGCGGCGACGTAGCGAAATTTCCAGCCCCCCCCCCCAAAGCGGGCGACAACGAGGCGGCAATGAGAAACGACACGACGAAACCTCCACGGACACCTCCAAGCGGTCAGCAACGAGGCGGCAACGGGCGGCGACGCGGCGAAACCTCCACGACCCCTCCCCCACAGAGCGCTGCAACGAAGCGGCAACGAGGCGATAACAGGCGGCGACGCGGCGCAATCTCAACGGACCCATCCAGTTCCTTCGGGAGAGAAGTAAAAATCCTCAAGCGCAAGCACCGATTGGCGAATATCAGCACACGAACGACGATGCCGAGCAACAGACTCTGGAACAGCAGCAGCAGCACGGCGATCACGAAGGCGGCGGCGGCGACGAACAGAAAAGCTCACTGTGTCTGCCACGAGCGGGGCTGCGACGGCTGAACCGCACACACCAACGCTTGGCGTGTAAACAAAAGGCATGTTGCTATTCTACATTTCTCGTGTCGAAGCAGAGGAACGAAACCAAATGTTGTTCCACTCTACTCGCCACGTGGCGAGACCTGGGGGGCGCACAAACAACTATTTCACGTTACTCAGAATGTGGCAGCGTCGTGTGGCGGGAAACATACTGTGCCAGTGTACTCGATTCGTGGAAATGCCCGGCGGGCGGAAAACATTCGATTCCACTCGATTCACAACGTGGGGGCGAAACAAAATACGATACACTCGACTCGCCACGCGGCAACGCCTGGGGGACGAAACAAAAAAAACTAGCCCACTCGACTCGTAACGTGGAACTGCCGGGGGGGGCTGCGAAAAAGAGCCATTTCACCTTTACTCGCCACGTGGCAACGTCTTGGGGATGAAAAGATACGAATTCACTCTACCCGCCACGTGGCAACGCCTCAAAGCTGAAAAGAAACTGTGTCATTCTACTCGCCACGTGGCTACACAGCGAGACGGAACAACTCGCATTTTTTCTCGAGGAACATGCATTCGGGAGGACGCGGGTGACGGGTGACAATTCCCGAGAGACGACGACGACGACGACGACGACGACGACGACGATGGCAACGATGACGACGACGATCATGACGACGACGACGACGACGACCATGACGACGACGACGACGATGAAGATGACAGCGATGGCGACAACAAACGGCGACGACGACGACGCCACATAGATTTTCGAAGACGACGACGACCACGACGACAACGACGACGACCACGAGAGACGACGACGACGACGATGACGACGACGACAACGACGACGACGACGACGACGACAAGGAGGAGGAGGAGGAGGAGGAGGACGACGACAGAAGATGGCGACGACGACGACGACGACGACGCCAGAGCCCGCCGGCGGCCGCGCCCGCCCGCCGCGTGGCAACGCTTGGGGACCGAGCAGAGCACTATTCTGCTTTCACTCGTAGCGTGGCAGCGCCTTAGGGGTCGACCAGAAGTACAGTCCACTCGCATGTTACCAGCCTGGAACATATCCGTATCCCTATGCTGGGCATCTCCTCATCACGATGCCAATCTTAGGGATTCCCTTATTTTTTGAGGGCGCATCCCTGAGATTGTCATCGCCTTTTGGCGTGTCAATCTTAGGGATCATTTTTCGCTCCTTGTTCTGCTGGTCGGCGCGGGCCCTCGCACCGCCTGCCCACCCCCCGCCCCCTTGGAGTGGATCGTGGCTGTTGTCGCCGCCTGTTTCAGGCAGGTGGAGTCTCCCCCATAGGACGCACTGCTGCAAACAGTCGCATTGAGCAGAGGTCCAGAGCCAGAGGTCCGGAGCCGGCCCCCCCCTTCCTTCCCCATCCGCCCAATGTCGAAACGCCGAATAAGAAAACGTTCACTTGGTCACTGGGCAACGCCTCGGGGCCAGAAGTAGTTACTGTTGCACTCTGCTCGTCACGTGGCAACGCCTTGGGGCAGAAAAAACTGTTCTGATATTGTACGCGCTACGTGGCAACGCACAGGGGCGGAAGCACATACCGTTCCGCTTCAATCGTCAAGTGGCATCGCTTGGGGGCCGAACCAAATACGGTTGCACTCTACTCGCCACGCGGCAGCGCTTGGGGGGCGAACAAACATCTATTTCGCTTTACTCGGAATATGGCAGCGTCGCGGGGCGGTAAACATACCATTCCATTGTACTCGATTCGTGGCAATGCCTGGCGGGCGGAAAACTACTCCACTCGATTCGCAACGTGGCCACGCCCGGGGGGGCGAAGCAGAAGACGATTACACCCTACCCGCCACCTGGCAACGCCTGGGGGGGTGGCGACAAGCGTACCATTCCGCTTCACTCGCCACGTGGCAACTTCTTGGAGGTGAAAGATCACATTCCACTCTGACTCGCCACGTGGCAACGCCTCGGAGCAGACAACAAAGCATTACTGGCCGTCGGCCCATCCCGCCACCACGCGTGGGTTGTGGGTCAGAGTTCTCAGGGATGCTTCTTGGGGTATCTTTGGAGCGCTCTCGGGGGCCTCTTGGGAGCCTCCTGGGGGGCCTCTTGGGGGCCTCTTGAGGACCTCTTAATGGCCTCTCAATGGCCTCTCGGGGCCCAGGGCTCGAAATGTCTGTTCGGGTTCCCCATCTGGGCCCCCTCTTAGGGGTCGTCATTTGGGCCTCTTGAGCCGTCGTGGGTGCATCTTGGGACGGTTTGGGGTCCATCTTGGAGGTCTATTGGGGCGGTCTTGAGGGCCTCTAGAGCCGTCTGGGAGCGTCAGGAAGCCGAAAAGGCTAGAACGCCAAAAACCTTCAAACAGCTACGGAAAATCAATAATGTTGTCCTCTTTGGGTCTTTTGGGGAGGCCTCTTGGAGGCGTCTTGGGGCGTCTTGGAGGCCTCTTGGCCGTCTGGGGGCCGTACTGATCTTGGAGCGATCGTTTGGCGACTCGGGGCCCTCTTGGACCGTAATAGGAGTCTCTTGGGGCCATCTTGGCCCATCGTGGAGCCCTCTGGGCTCCGAAACAGTTACGCGGGAAGTCACGACAGGATGCGCCAAGCCCCATGGTCCCGTTCAACACTCTTCAGGAGTGAGGATTGAGGCTTACTGGATGGGGCAAAGGACCCGAGGACACGCTCACTCCGTGCCCAGCGGCACGGTGGCAGACGTCATTTGATTCTGATTCGCCACTTGGCAACGCAGCGAGACGAAAAAGCTTGTATTCCTGTTTCCGTCGAAAAGCAGACCTTCGGGAGGACCTAGGTCATGGGTGACAAACTCCCGAGCGCAGACGACGACGAATGCGACGACGACTACAGCGACGACAACGACGATCACGACGACGACGACGACGACGACGACAGCAAACAAGTGGCACGCGTGCCCTGGCTCTTGCACCAAGGAGCTGCTAGAGACAGGAGGTGTTCGCCTCCTTCCTCCAGGAGTTTACTTTTGTGGCCGTGGGGGGGGAGGACGAACGACGAACGAACGAACGAACGACGACAACGAACGCACATAAAGAAGTCCAAGACTGGGGCCAGGGCCGGGGCGGGGAGGCTGGGTCCAAGGCCAGGGTCAGTGGGGCGAGGGGGGCTTGGGGCCAGGGCGAGGAGGACTGGGGCCAGGGCCGGGGGAGGGGATGCTGGGTCCAGGGCCACGGCCAGCGGGGCGAGGGGGGCTGGGGCCAGGACCAGGGGGAGAGGTTGGGTCCAGGGCCAGGACCGGACCAGGGACAACGACGAACGAAACTAAAGGGTCCAGGGCGAGGGGGACCGGGGCCAGGGCCAGGACCGGACCAGGGACGACGACGAGTGAAAATAAATGGTCCAGGGCGAGGAGGACGGGGGGGGGGGCTGGGGCCAGGGCCAGGGCCAGCGGGGCGAGGAAGGCTGGGGCCAGGGCGAGGGGGACTGGGGCCAGGGCCGGGGGGGGGGGAGACTGGTGGGTCCAGCGGGGCGAGGGGGGCTGGGGCCAGGGCGAGGGGGACTGGGGCCAGGGCCGGGGGAGGGGAGGAGGGCCAGGGTCCGAGGGGGGCTTGGGGCCAGGGCGAGGGGACTGGGGCTGGGGGGCCAGGGCCAGCGGGGCGAGGGGGGAGGAGGGGGAGAGGTTGGGTCCAGGGCCAGGACCGGACCAGGGACGACGACGAACGAAACTAAAGGGTCCAGGGCGAGGGGGACTGGGGCCAGGGCCGGGGGGGGGAGGCTGGGTCCAGGGCCAGGGCCAGCGGGGCGAGGGGGGCTGGGGCTAGGAGCAGGGGGGGAGGTTGGCTCCAGGGCCAGGACAGGACCAGGGGGACGACGACGAACGAAAATAAAGAGGTCCGAGCTCTAGGTCACAGCTGTGCAAGATAAGAATGGGGAGTGAGGGTGATGAGGGCGGACTACTCCTCCACCTCCTTCTGGTCCTCGTCCTCCTCGCTAGCATCATCTGAATCACCATCATCGACGTTAGCATTGCCATCATCATCGTACTCATCATCATCATCAGCATCATCATCACCATCGTCATCAGCAGCATCATCATCATCATTATCATCATCATCAGCATCATCATCACCATCGTCATCAGCATCACAATCATCGTCAGCAGCATCAGCATCAGCGTCATCATCATCATCATCATCATCATCATCATCATCAACACCATCATCAGCATCATCTTCATCTTCGTCATCATCATCATCATCATCCTCATCCTCATCCTCGTCATCATCATCATCGTCATCATCATCATCCTCATCATCATCATCGTCGTCATCATCATCGCTAGCGTTGGCTGTTGGCAACTTCATCCCCACCATCGTTGCCATCGGCACCATCGCCATCGTCAGCACGGCCATCGTCGTCATCACAAGCCGCAAAACAGCATCGACATCCGCAGTGTCGGCGGCATCGCATGCGCCTCCCCTCCTCGTTTCCGACCTCGTCTCCTCCTCCGCTCCTCCGCCGCATCGTGCTGCTGCTCACTCCTGCTCGTGGCATTCCTCGTCTTCACCTCCTTCCATGCGCTCGTGGTGCGCTACCATGTACTCGCGTTCGCCGAGGAAGTCAGGGGAGAGGTATCGTTTATGACTCAGTCATTGGTCTCGTCTCTTCCTCCGCTCCTCCCTCAACAGTCGACGACGAGCGGCGACTGAGGATGATCGACGACGACGCGAGAGGACAGACGACGACGGCCGAGACGACTGCCGAGACCGATAGACGACGGCATGGCTCTTATGCTCCTTGCCTCCCTCCCCTGTCGCACGCTTTGCGTTTCTGTCTCTCTGTGCTTCCCCCCCATCCTTCCTTTCGTCCCACCAACTGCGCCCAACCCTCCCCCTCCCTGCGCACCACCGAGACGCACTCTCACTTCTGCCTGGGTGACGGCACGCGCGCGCGAGAGAGAGAGAGCTGGACAAAGTCCGCGCCTCGCGACCCTGGGATGCGGAACGCGCGGTCAGCTTGGCCCCCTCGCGGAAGCACCTGGGACCAGAGCAGAGAACCAGCCGAAGCCGAAGCGAAGCGCATTTTACCTCGGCGCCCCCACCGATGGCCCTAGAAGAGAGCACGGCGACGCGGAGTGACGACTGCGAGCGCGGCGCAGAAAGGAAGAAGGATATACAAGGAAGACTAGATTATGTAGTGATCACAATCATCGTCGTCAACATGGGCGTCGTCATCGTCTTCGTGATCATCATCACCAGCATCGGCTAGACGAGTTCTTCTGGGACGCTCTCTCCCAGGCCAGTTCTTCCGAGCGGGATCTTCCAGGATGAGTTTTTTGGGGATGATTTCTTCGACGATGTCTTCCGGAACACCTTCGTCCGGAACGAGTTCTGCCAGGGCGAGTTCGTCCAAATCGAGTTCATCCAGAACGAGTTCTTCCCGACGAATTTTCCCGTGATGATTCATCCGGAACGAGTTCTTCTGGAATGAGCTAAGCCGAAACGAGTTCTTCTGGGGCCAGTTGTTCCAGAAAGAGTTCATCCAGAACGAGTTTTTCCAGATGAGTCTTTCCGAATGAGATCATTTAGTCTTACTTCTTTGTTTGACGAATCCGCCATCCGCAACACATTGTTGAACAGGCAAGATCATCCGAACGAGTTCATCTGGGCGAGTTCATCCAGAAGAATTCATCCCGAAATTAGTTTGTCCGCAGCACAGTTCATCTGGACGAGCTCATCGGGACAATTTCATCCGGTCGAGTTCGTCCAGAAGAACGATTTTCTGGATGAACCCGTCGCAGATGAAATCGTTCAGCACGCTGGGTTCGAGAATGTTTTTACCTCTTTCGCTCTGCGGGGGCCGTTTTCGGGCCTTGGGACCGTCAAGAACTGTTGGGGGGTGAAAAATTGCACCACATGGACACCAGGAGGGGTCCGAGAACATTAGCTGCCCTGGCACGCCACTTCTGGAACGCAACGCGTACCGTGTTCAAAACGTCCGTGTTAACACGCTGCGTGTTGGCTCAGCGTGTCGGCCCACGCCTTGGCGAACGTACCGCGCCAAACTTCCGTTTTCAGCCTCAATGCTCAGCTCAGCGTTAGCACGCCGCTGGTTGCGTGTCGCATGCTGGGGCACTTAAGCCAGGAACCGATGTTGAACGGAGATGCCTTCATCCCCCGCCTCTTGACCGATTCTCTCGGGGCCCGAGCGGCCCAGACGCCCCTGGCCACCTCCAAGTTCCAGACAGCGCCTTTCGGAGCAGCATTGGTCCGCAGGAGAACGTCTCGGAGCCCAAGTGGGAGCACAGCCCGCTGCTGCCCTGGCAGCGCGCGTCCGGGCGGGCGGGCACCGCGCAGTTCGGGGCGCTCTGTTTCTTCTTCGGGGTGCGGCAGGCCCTCTCGCGGGCGCACGTGCCCGTGGGCCTGCTTCATGCCGGAGTGGGCGCCACGCAGGCAAAGCAGTGGGCGCCACATCTCCAGGGCCGACTAACGTACACCTGCGGTGCACCCCCCCCCCCCGTCCCCCCTCCCCCCTTGTCCTCGGCGGCGCGCAGAGAGGTGGTGGCGCGCGGGGGCGGGGCGGCCGTCTGAGGAGGCAGGGGTGGATCTTAGGAGGAGGAGCCCTTCTCGGAATCCTTCCTGGCATCTGCGAAACCTCAGAGGAGGTTTTTCGAGAAGCCTTCCTTTGAAGCCTCCCGACCCGTGTAAGGAGGCTGCCCCACCCTCTAAGGAGCCCCCGCCTTTTTAGACGGCCCCCCCTCGGGGGCGCCGCAAACACTCTTGGGAACGAGGAGATGAGGATGGAGTAGAAGGGGAGGGAGGCACTTGTGGCGTACATGTTTGCGGCCCATGGCATCAAGCATTCAAAGAGTGTGATTTGCCTGAGCAGAGCCAGGGCGGCACTGGAAAGAACTATGAGCCAACTGGCACGTCAAGCCTGTGGAATACGATGCTCTGGCCGCTGACGGTGCCAGGAGGCAATTCTTGCGATCATTATTCCAACATCCCTCCCCTCACCCCCGTCCCTTCGTGTGGGACACGCGGGGGAGGAGAAGGAGGAGGAGGAGGAGGAGGAGGAGGAGCAGGAGGGAAAGGAGGAGGAGGAGGAGGAGGAGGGGGAGCAAGAGGAGGCGAAGGAGGAGGAGAAGGCGGAGGAGGAGGAGGCGGAGGAGGAGGAGGGAGGAGGAGGAGGAGGAGGAGGAGGAGGAGGAGGAGGAGAAGAGGAGGAAGAGGAGAAAGAAGAGAGGGAGGAGAGGGAGGAGAGGAGGAGAGGGAGGAGCAGGAGCACGAGCAGGAGGAGCAGGAGGAAGGGAGGAGGAGGAGGGAGGAGGAGGAGGCGGAGGAGGAGGAGGAGGGGAGGAGGAGGAGGAGGAGGAGGAGGGAGGAGGAGGAGGAGGAGGCGGAGGAGGAGGAGGAGGAGGAGGAGGAGGAGGAGGAGGAGGAGGAGGGAGGAGGAGGAGGAGGAGGAGGAGGGGGGGAGCAGGAGGAGGAGGAGGAGGAGGCGGAGGAGAGGAGGAGGAGGAGGAGGAGGAGGAGGAGGAGGAGGAGGAGGAGGAGGAGGAGGAGGAGGAGGAGAGGAGGAGGAGGAGGTAGAGGAGGAGGGGGGGCTAACTGTTGGTTAGTGAAGCGAGTGTCTCTCAGGTGCTCCCAATCCGCGGCATCCTCATAGAGATTACAGGGGATGACACGAAGGAGGGCCATTGCCTCGAGCGCGCCATGTTGAGGCAGTGGCGCGCGCTCTGGCGCGTGAGGACCCTGAACGAGACCGATGCCCACATCCCCGTCATCGCCGTCCAGGCAGGCTGTGGCTTCGGCGTCTCGGGCACCAGCAGCCACAGGAGGGAGGCGTGCGAGGCGCTCCTGCAGGAGAAGCGCGTCGCGATTCGGAGGAAGGAAACCACGCAAACACAAACGTTCGGAGCTCCGCGCGAGTTTCTAGGATCGGCGCAGGACACCTCCCTTCCTGGCGCGCCTCAGCGCGCCTGGGGCGGCGCCGGAGGCGACACCAGGGGTGCCCAGCGCGGACCCGATAAGTCCGCGTGGACCTCTGAACGTTTATGCCCGTGCAGTCGTCTCTTCCTCCAGCGATGGCCGTGACCGCCGACCTCTGCCACCCCGTGAGGCTGACTGGCAACATGCACTCGCCCCTGAAGAGGGAGGATCTGGGCCTCCCAGATGGGGTCGGAGTAGATGGGGTCGGACTGTCGCGCCGCATCGCCGATGCATCTGCGATGCTGCTCGGAGTGGAGCTCGATTTGTTCTCCACGCCGACGTCGCCGATGCATCGTTAATGCATCGGTTACGCATCGGTTATGCATCGACGATGCGGCGCGATCCTCCGACCCCATCTACTCCAGGCCTCGGAAGAAACTAGCGAACATTCGTGCCACGTTCATCTGTCAATGCCCCGCCCAATGGCCAGTGTTGGCGGCGGGTTGAGTGAGTTGCACTTCGACCGCAGTCGACCCCGCGCGTGCCAACTTTGAATTTGGGGGAGAGGGGGGGAGTGTTCACTACAATAATTGTTGCCCTCTACCGTCTGTCGGGGGTGGACAGACCTCCTACCCTGACACGTCGATTTGCGAATCGGCCGTCACTTCTGCGGGTCCAGGTCCGTCGGTTTCGGTCCCAGGCCATTTTCACCAAAGTGAGGTTTACGAAAGGGAGGCTTGCCCACCGCCGAGTCTGACCCCATCTGGGAGGTCTCCAGAGGAGGCGGAGCGTGCCGCTCTGGCGGCGGAGCGCCTCGTCCACGGCAACCGCTCCGTGCCCGCCGGGGGCCCGTGGCCCGTGCGGGCTTCGGCCCGCGCCTGCAGCGCCGCATGCGGCTGCACGCAGCGGTGGCCCTCTGCCGGAGTGGCCCTGGGGAACGTTTCCTTCTTCGGCGTGTCGACATCGGGCGGAAGGGGGGGGGGGCCGCCGGAGGCCTCGCACCTGGTCGCGCGGCGTGGGCAGGCATGCCCCGACGGTCCAGGCCGGGAGGAGGGCGAGACAGCGAGAAGGCAGGGGAACGGCTGCCCAGACCCCCGACGTCATGACTCTGGCATGACGTGGAAATTTCGGCGGTCTGCACCCACCGTGAGCGCTTCCTTATACGGCGTTTCGACATCGGGCGCAAGGCGGGGGGGGCAGGGGGGGTGTCTGGCTCCGGACCTCTGCGCAACGCGACAGCTTGCAACATCATTGCGTCCTATGGGAGAGACTCCGCCTGCCTGAAACAGGCGCCAGAAACAGCCGGGATCTGCTCCATAGGGGGGGGGGGGGGGGCCGGCGAGGGCCCGCGCAGATCGGCAAAACAATGAATAAGAAACAACAACGTTGTTGCGAAGAAGAGAGCAGCATGCACATATGTGTTCGGAGGTCTTCGCGGAGTGGCCTTTGGTTCGGAGAAAACAGACGGTCAGGAATTTTGGCTCAGCGTGTCGCGCCGCCGGTGTTGGCCCACCACGCTTCGGCGCGACGCGCTATCCACGTCCCCAGTCTCAAGCGTTATGTCCCGAGCTGTTCCCAACCTCCCGCCCCGCGGAGCGGAGCGACGCGCGATCCGCCCGCAGGGCACAGCGTGTCGCCGGGGCCGCCGCCGTGACAGGCTAAGCCAAAGTTCCCGACCGTAAGCACAATGTTTCGGAGATCCTCGCTGATTTCCGGGACCTGCGACGTATACCCGCCAGGCGGCGCTTCCGGCGTCGCCCCTGGCGCCCTCCGCGCGCCAAGGAGGGGGCCCAGCGCCGATCCAAGAAGTCCGCGCGGAGCTCCGGAAGCTTATGTTCATACCGCTGCGTCATAGCATTATTAGTCCCAGTCGAATCGTTATTGTTACGACCATTAGTATTGGTATTAATTTTCTTCTTCTGATGATTCTTATTAGTATTCCTATTAGCATTGTTATTGCTATTGCTATCAGTATTACGATAAGTTGACTAGCATTATTATTTCATTATATTGGTGCGCGTCGTTCGGAGGGCGCGGGGAAGGGGGGGGAGCAAACCCAAGCAATCAAGCCACTACCATCGTATCATGTGCGGCGAATGGCACGCCGCGCAGCAAGGGTCACTCCTGCCCAGGGTCACTCTTGCGTGCAGCCGACGCATGGTGCTCGCTCCAGTGTGGTCCTGGGCCGCCAAAGAGCGGCTCGCAGGACGATTGCTTGAGCGTCCGCGTGAAGTTCGACCAGGACGTCCGTCTGCGGGATCCGCTTCCGCCCTGGGCGTTTCAGTTCTCGCGGATTGCGTCCCCAGGCGATTTCGTGCTCAGGATTTCTTCTGGGGGCGAAGTAATTCGCTTGCCCATGGTGGGCGTGGAAGATGCAGATCAGACTGTCGTGCGCCTCGCGGGAAGAATACCCCACGAGTTGTACGAGCAAGTCGCCGAGCTTGCATATGGCCATTCTGAGTGGCCACTGATGGTGTTGATTAATTCGTGGGGAATGCCTGTTCCCCAGTTCACCATTGGCGTTCGTCTCGCGACGAGTGGTCATGGAGGGGAAACCTTTCGACTCCCCTCCCATCTCCTCGCCCAGCTTCTCCTGGCTCAAGCACGGCGCACCCCTTCCCATGGGCGATGCGCTTCGAGCAGTGCGGGGCCGCTACGCATCTCGAGCAAGCAGTCGTGGCACGGGGGGAGGCTGGGCAGAAGGACAGGGCCGACTACGATTCGATGCGATTCGGTTCGCCGGGCAGACCCGCGATTCCGATTCATTGGCTGACGCCGCACCGCCGACCCCTTGGGGCGGCAGTCAGAGTGAAAAACGGAGTTTGCGGAACGATTTCTGGGGAATCTTGGGGTTTCAGCTTCTTGGGATTTCGTCGGGGGCGGTTGGCGGATCGCCGCTCTGCTCTTGGGCTTCTTTGGGCTCTCCTGACAGCACTTTTGAGGCCTCTTGGGAGCCGTTTTCAGGCCTCTAGGAGCCTCTTCTGGGCCTCGAGGGAGCCTCGTGGGAGCCTCTTGGGGGCCGATTGGCGCCTCAGGTTTTTTCGGGGCCGAGTGCTCGAAATGTTCTTTCGGGTTCCCCCTCTGGGCCTCATCTTGGGGCCGTCCTGGGGCCCTCCTGGGTCGTTTTGGAAGCTTCTGGGGCTGTCTTGGGGCCCTCGCGGCCGTCTTGGAGCCATATTGGGAGCCTCTTGGGTTATCTTGGGTCGACCTTAAAGGCTTCTTGGGCCTTTGTGGGCCTCGTGAAAGCCCAAGAGGCGAATGTGCTAAAAAAATACGTTTACCCTAGGGAATTGCTTCTGGAGGGCCTCTTGGGACGCCTCTTGGTGGCTTCTTTCGGCGTTGGGGGCCCCTGGGACCGTCTGGAGGCGATCTTGGGCGTCTTGGAGCGATCTTTCGGCGACTCGTAGCCCTCTTGGACCGTCCGGGGGGGCCTTTGGGGGCCCTCTTGGCCCGTTTTGGGGCCCCCTGAGGCTCCAAGGGTGCGGCCAACACCTTTGCCCCCCACCCCTACCCCCCCTCCAAACCGACCGGACTGGGCTCCCAGGGGAGGGGTTTGGGGAGGGGGAAGCGTCTCACACGCCGTGACCCCAAGGGGTCGGCGGATGCGGTCCCGTTCACCGGCATTTGATGAGGCCAGCCCGAGCCGGGCGCGGCGACCCGACTTCGACTCGATTCGGGACGAGTCGTTGGCGATCCTTTGCGATCCGATCGGGCTTCGCGACTCGATGCAGCCCAGGCCTGAGGGATCGGGGGGAGACGAGGGTCGTAGTGGTGGTCGTGGTCCTCGCGGTGGTGGTTGTCATGGTGGTGGTCGTTTGAGGAGGGAGGAGAAGAGAGGAGGAGGAGGAGGAGGAGGAGGAGGAGGAGGAGGAGGAGGAGGAGGTGGAGGTGGAGGCGGAGGTGGAGGAGGAGGAGGAGGAGGAGGAGGAGGAGGAGGAGGGGAGAAGGAGGAGGAGGAGGAGGGGAGGGGGAGGGGGGAGGGGGAGGGGGAGGAGGAGGAGGAGGAGAAGGAGGAGAAGAAGAAGAAGAAGGAGGAGGAGGAGGAGGAGGAGGAGGGGGAGGGGGAAGGAGAAGAGAAGGAGGAGGAGGGAAGAGGGAGGAGGGAGTAGGAGGGAGGAGGCAGGAGTAGGGAGGAGGGAGAAGGGAGGAGAGAGAAGGGAGGAGGTAGGAGGGAGGAGGAGCAGGAGAAGAAGAACAAGGAAGAGGAGGACGAGGAAGAGGAGGAGGATAAGGAGGAAGGAAGGAGGAGGGAGGAGGGAGGCGGGAGGAGGAGAAGAATGAGAAGGGAGAGGAGGAGGAGGAGGAGAAGGAGGAGGAGGAGGGGGAGGGAGAGGAAGATGCGCAGGAGGAGGGGGGGAGGGAAGGGGGTTCGGACTGGGAGGCGTGCGCGCGAGCACCACGCCCAGCGAGGGCCTCTTCCTCCCCCTCCTTCTGGCCTTCTCTTCCTCCGCCTCCTCCCCCTCATCATCACCGTCATCACATTCGCGCCAACATCCTCATCATCATCACCATCATCATCGTCACCTTGCAGCCGACCGTCTGTCCCGGCTCCCCCCCCGTCATTCCCAATCCCGCCTTCTTCCCTGTCTTGTCCTCTGCTCCTCTACGCTCTGCCCTCCTCGTATTATTATTATCCCCCTTATCCGATCGCCTCTCCTCCTCTTCCTCCTTCTCCGTCTTTGTCTCCTCCTCCTTCTCCTCCTCCTCCTCTTTCCATCTCTCGGCCTCCTCTTCTTCGCCCTCCTCATGCCTCCAACGAACTAAACATCTACCCTGATCATCATCTTCATCGTCCCACTTCCCCTCTTCGCTGTCCTCCTCCTCCTCCTCCTCCTCATCATCATCCTCATCATCATCATCATCATCATCATCATCATCATCATCATCATCATCATCATCATCATCATCATCATCATCCCCCCAACCTCCCCTGCGTTTCTCCCCTTCTAGTTGGTTGAGTGGGTCCAAGAGGCGAGAACGGCAGATCCGCGCCACCTCGACGCGGTGGCGACGCCCGCGCAGACGTTTAAGCTCGGAAGATCTGGCGTACACAGGGGGGATGAAAGGGGGAGGAAAAGGAAGGAAGAGGAGGAGGAGAAGAAGGAGGAGAAGGCGGAGGAGGAGGAGGAGGAGGAGGAGGAGGAGGAGGAGGAGGAGGAGGAGGA